GGAGGGCACAAGGAGAAGGGGATGACAGAGGATGAGATGGTTGGACAGTGTTCTCGAAGCTACCAGCATGAGTTTTTCCAAACTGCAGGAGGCAGTGGAAGACAGGAGTGCCTGGCATGCTCTGGTCCATGGGGTCACAAAGAGTCGGACATGACTAAACCACTAAACAACAACAACAACATCCATCTTTTATTCTTTGTTCTAACAAACCCCTCTAACACAGTTGCTACAATAATTTCCTTAGCTTGCACTAGGGTGAAGGTGAGGCTGCTCTCATTGCATTTGAGATGCGATGTCAAAGACCAAAAGCAGGAAGGAATTTTTGGAATATGGTGCATCATATATCACAATTTGGACTATTTCTTAAAAAAATAAAATACATAACAATATACCAACATTGTCCGATATAGAGAAGCAATTTTTACCTGATTCATGTAAGGCAATAAATGACATTCTTCTTATGCAGCTATGCCTTGGAATTTTGGCGGCAGCAATGGAAATAAGGAACAAAATCAGCAACGGCTGCTTTCATGAAATGGCAAATTATTCAGTGGTGAAAGCCAAGTTTCTGTTAAACATCTCATGTTATCTTACGTACCAGTCACATAATCCCTTATCAGCTAAACATTTTTTTTTATTATAAAAAATAAAAAAAATAAGGAACTTATATTCAAAAGGCCAAAGAAGAATTTCTAATGAGAAAGGATGTGCCAGCTTTTGGGGAAATTAACTGCTCCAGTGAATTGCAGAGATAAAGCGGAAGAAATTATCCCAATGATTCGTCTATTGTAATTAGAGATGGGCCTCAGCTTCTGAGGTACACAGCCAGATCCAAACTTCTCTCAAACTGGAAAGGGTGTGTGTGTGTGTGTGTGTGCGTGCGTGTGCACGCGCTTTGCCTTGAGTCTTCCTCTTTTAAATGGCAAATACAACAGCAGTCAATTGAAACACCAATCACTTATTTTTCCTGCCAGAGTGTAAATCTGTTGGTGTTATTATGGTCGGAGACCAGCTTATAAAACACACTTGGGGGTACAGTTAAAACAATGTACAACAATAAATTTAAAATTTATAAATGCGATAAGCATATAGACACTTAAAACTTTAAGATAAGCTACTGCATAGATATGACCCAGAGTCACCCATGGAACCGAGTTTGGGGATTTTCTTCACGAACTGGTTTGAGTCGGGGGATGGTCTGAGCCTACAGATCTGTACACAGAATCTGGCGACCATCCGGGTCATCTTCTGATCTTTGCCTAACAGGAAAAGGTCGAATTTTTGCTTTTCCGGGTGGTCAGTGAGCCTCACTAGTAGGGGATCAATGGTCTTACTACATGCCTCTTCATAAAAGGGACATCTAAAGAACAAGTAGAGACGTCACCTTGCCAACAAAGGTCCGCATAGTTAAAGCCATGGTTTTTCCAGTAGTGATGTATGGAAGTGAGAGCTGGACCATAAAGAAGGCTGATCGCCGAAGAATTGATGCTTTTGAATTATGGTGCTGGAGAAGACTCTTGAGAGTCCCATGGACTGCAAGAAGATCAAACGCATCCATTCTAAAGGAAATCAGCCCTGAGTGCTCACTGGAAGGACAGATCCTGAAGCTGAGGCTCCAGTACTTTGGCCACCTCATGAGAAGAGAAGACTCCCTGGAGAAGACACTGATGCTGGGAAAGATGGAGGGCACAAGGAGAAGGGGGAGACAGAGGACGAGATGGCTGGATAGTGTTTTCGAGGTTACCAGCATGAGTTTGACCAAACTGCGGGAGGACAGAGGTGCCTGGCGTGCTCTGGTCCATGGGGTCACGAAGAGTCGGACACGACTAAACGACTAAACAACAACAACAACAACAAAGAACAAGTGCTTTGGGCTTCCTATATCCCCCAATGAACAGGCACAAAGTCTCTGAGCATATGGGACTTTTTTTAAAGGCTCCTTCTAGGACCGGCAAGGGCAGAGCTGAGCTGCTGGTGAGTGTAAAGGCCCTTCTAGCATTTTTGGATATGAGAAAGAAGAGATATGCTGCCGGTGCGGCTGTATATCTCTCGATTTCTCCAATTTTATAGTCGGGGCACCTTGAGCAGTTCTGTTGTCTCTCGGTGTCTATGATTCTTTGCCTGACCGTAGCATTTGCCTGGCCCAACCTCAGACTTAGAAGGGCTTGAGGGGCAAAACCTAGTTTCTGAAGGGTGTTCAGGACTGCTGCCAGCCAGCCTGACCGGAACTGGTCGCAGAGGATCAGTGGGGCTATTCCTCAGGGGAGCAGATTCAATGTCAGCCATTTGTAAATTGATGTTAGGCAACCTTAGTAGATATTTGACTGTGTTGGTCCTTCAATCCAGCCTTGTTTCAGGGTGGTGGCCTGTATTAAGACTACGGATCCAGGATCGACCGTCAGCCAGATTTACCCAAAGTCGCTTATCAGCTGAATTAAAGTTAAGCTGATGAAGAAAAAGTCATTGTTCACAGATTATTAAAGCCAGGACCAGCTTGGAGTAAGCTTTTGCTCCTGAAGAAGCCAACCTTGGACTTAGAATGCTACAGGGAAAAAACTACTGCAGGTGGTTTTAATCTTTCATTTTGGATCTTTGTGGCTAGATAACAGAATGTTAGTGCACCGTCAAAGCCACATATTCCTTTCTCTTGCACACTACTGGATCAGCTAACAATCTATCTACCAATCTACTAAGGTCCCCCACTCCAGCAGGCAGTTTACTGGCAAGGACCTCCTCGACCCATAGGAGCCAACTCTGAGGGCCCCCCAATAAAATATATTAAGGGATCAGCTCCCCCAGCTGCTGGGCATTGCCATTCAAATGATGTGTGTGTACCAAGTGATGTGATCGATTTTATTCCAGTTGGGACCCTTTGCCTGGACCTGTTGTAGCGAGGATGGAAACTTACTGAGGAAGGCACTGCTGAATCACACTCCATTGTCTCTTGAGACAAGCAGATGCCAACAACAACCAACAAAACTCCTGTCCCAATGACCCAAAGATGAGTGGCACCAGCAGTTTCTTCTCCTCCCTGTTGCAATTTCTCATTGATTTAGAAAAGCAGGCAAAAAGGAAGCAATAAGAAAGCTAAGAAGTGACAGGGCTGATGGGTACAGGTGTGCCAGTCAGCACCTTTGCTTGGGGGGAGGGTGGTACGGGCCCAGCAAAGTCATTCTTTGACCCAGCCCAGCCCCTGTGTCAGAATTGCAACTGGCGATGTGGGACGGTGCTGGAATTGATGGAGTCTGACTATTATTATGAGTGTACCGCTTCCATGACAAAACAGCTTCTTGGTGGTTTGCAACTATTTAATCAGTACATCATTAGACACACAATAGCAATTCCATTGGGGCATTAAAATTTCCTGAAGTGAAATGTACAATGGGAGAAACAATTAAAATTCAAAGCAAATTTTTTTTAAAAAAAAACAACAACAATAACACAACAGTTAAAACAATAAAACCAGATGTTCAGTTCATGAGATCGCTTGCCATAACAGTTGTGTCTCCAGGAGCTGGCAGAATGCCAACTTATGGGGCCTCTCATATTTTCTTTTTTTGGGGGGGGTGTATTCCACAGCACTGGTGCCACCAGTGAAAAGGCCCACCTTTGGTTTTCCACAAGACAATAAAGATTCGGTTGAGTCAAAACTAATCAGGTTCCATTGCCTGATTGTAGTGCCCTCACCCTAATCTGCCCTTGGTCCGTCCACCAGTCTTTATTGCACAAGCAATAGGGATTTCAGCATAGCACTGGCTAGGCACTCGATAGTTTTGAATAAGGACTCTTTCTGCACTGCCTTTAATAAGAAATAAGAAGCTCATGAGCAAGTAAAGGATATAGAAACACTCCATAAGATAATGCAAAATGCAAGAAGAACTGATGGACAACGTGCTCATCATTAACTGCTGGGTAATAACAAGCTTTGTTAACAGTGTTTTATACATTGTAATTGTTTCGCTGGTGGTTTGTTAATTATTCAATGTGATTTATGCTGTATTTGTGATATTCTATTACGTTCTATCATATTATCATTATTTATTGTTTGTAAGCCCCTTTGGGATTCATTTGAATGAAACGTGGCCTAGAAATATATTGAATACAAAGAATCCAACCAGAACACCCGTTTCTGAACTCATCCTTCCCTGAGTTCTGGAGCGGCTCTGCACCACAGCAGAACTTAAGTAGGACAGCATGAAGTTACCGCTCTTGACATGTTCCCAAAAGGAGGCTTCTCTCGGGAGAGTGCAGCTGTCTGAGCAGTTTGAAGAACTAAGAAATGCCCTGCTGCGTTCGACCAAAGGCCACTGTAGCCTTCCCTTCTAGTCTCCCCACAGTGTCCAATCAAATGCCTAAGGTAAGTTTGCAAGCAGACCATGAGCATAATTGCATTCGCCCACTCACATTGCCCATCAGAGGATATTCAGTGAGACACACTGCCTGCGATACTGGAGGTAATATACAGCCATCAGATTTGTGTAAAGGCATTAGGACATTGACAGTTTTATTTTTAATCCCCTTTCTAATGATCCCGAACATGGAATTTGCCTTTATTGGGGTTGCCATCTCCTGTTGAGGATTAAATTGTCACATTTAACGCTTGTAAAGGACTAGAACAGGCTGATTTCATTAATATTAATGTAAATACCTAATTCTGAAATCTGAATTGGTGCTTTAACACACACACACACACACACAGCATATCTTCAAGGGATATTCATTTATGGCCATTGCTTGTCTCTGAATTTGGGCCTCATATTAGGCATTGTGCAGAGGCAGCTGTGACAGCACTGGGTGCTAGATTCAGGTAGGTAGCCGTGTTGGTCTGATGCAGTCAAAATATATATAAAAAATTGTCCAGTTGCTGTTAGGTTTCTGTTTGTGCCACTGGTGCAGTGCTTGGAGTCACAAGACTCTGTTTACATTCCAGGGATTCCAAACTGCTGGAAGTCTCACGGGAGACGGACGTTGTTGATACTGGTTTCCTGTTCCTTTGTTCCAGTTGCCTCTCTGCTCTCACAGAGAGAGGATGTTCCTTTTCTGTCTGCGTAGTTAGAAATAAAACTCTTTGCAATGTAGCTCAAATTTCTCATCCTTCCCTGCATGCTGGATACTCTGCGTAATGGGGAACGTGCCTGGAGCCTCATCAAAGGCTCAGGTCGTTAATCACATCGGAGGACTCGACCGGAGAAGCTCGGTTGAACGCAAGTCCGACAGGAGCAGCTTAGAGACCAACTGAGTTTGTTCTTGGTATAAGCTTTTGTGTGCATGCACACTTCTTCAGATACCTTCAGATACTGGGTCAAACAGTCATAGCTGCGAAGGGCCCCATTCCATTGCAAGGAATGCTGCAACACACAAGCATTTTGCCTGTTCAAAACCTTTGGCAGGGCAGCTAGAGCATTTCAAAAGAGCCACAGAGATGTCCTTCCCTATATAACAGCAGAAGCAGCTGGTAGGGCCGAACAGAGCCAATCCAACCCTCTCAACAAAACAACCGCACCATTCCAACCCACCACCACCTTCTCTTTCCTTCTGTTACCGGTGGTGACCTCCACATTGGGAAACCAGATAAGCAATGCTGTCCCATCCTGCTCCACAGCACTCTAAATGATAATGATGTTGTTGTTTAGGGAAGATTTAATGTCTGGTGCTGTTTTGTTTTTAATATTCGGTTGGAAGCCACCCAGAGTGGCTGGGGAAACCCAGCCAGATGGGCAGGGTAGAAATAAATAATTATTATTATTATTATTATTATTATTATTATTATTATTATACATCTGGCTGGGGTTTGGCAGAGAGACAAAATAAGCAGCCATATTTGGAACGGGGTGGCCAAATCTGTACTTTTTAGAAAAGCATATGGTTGAGTTGTAATGCCTATATTATGGAGCATTACATGAGGCATATGCATGGAAGGAAAAAGCTCATCCAAATCCAACTGAATGCTGGGGCTGGGAGGAACAATGGGAGAACTTCCTCCAGTTAACATTTTTGCAATTTCCTCTTGGGGCACACTGGGAATTGATGCAGCATTGACTCTTATCATTCATGTTTTACCTGTTGATCTTGCCCAGATGGTGATAGAGACCTTGCCTATTGTCTCTGGGTCACCAGCCCTTGTATTTTGCTCAGTGCTTGCTGTTTACCACCTAAGACAGGGGTAGCCAACTCCCAAGAGACTGCGATCTACTCACAGTTAAAAACTGGCAGTGATCTACCCCTTTTGGGGGGGTTCAGATCAAAGTTGTTGAGCTTTTTCAGGAAGGAAAACCCTGTTTGGGGGGGGGTTCAGGTCAAAGTTTAAGACTCTCATGCTCTACTGACTGTGCTTTCTCCCCATTCTCATAATATACTTCTTAAAACACCCTTAACATGGGGTTTTTTTGGGGAGGAAGAAAGCCCCATTTTTGGGGTGCAGGGCTTCTTGGGGGGCTTCTTGATCTACCAGTGATCTACCACAGACATTCAGTGATCTACCGGTAGATCACAATCTACCTGTTGGACGTGCCTGACCTAAGATATCATCATCAAATGAATTCTGGTCTTCCAGGTTGTTGGGTCAGGGGTGGAAGAAAGTTTTATATTCAGCACTATCTCCCTAGGTTCAAGCCCAGGAATGGCCCTCCCTGGATTTTCAGACAGATATCCATTGCTGTCATGGGAAGCAAGTAAAACCCAGAGCGCAGCTTGGCTAACAACCCGCAGCAATGTTTTCTACAGTTTGTGAAAAGGAACGTGAAGCACCTCCATGCAGACACAAACGCGGTTGCTACATTGATCAAATGTTGCCGGAGCGATCAAATCTCTTTCTTCCCTCAAAAGTAGAAACCTCAAATTGGCCTTGAACTTTCACTGGAGAGGAAGTTTGGTCACAAAAGAGACAATCAAAGATATTGTGGTTGCCTGAGGCAGAAAATCAAAATGGCACTTTCCCATGCTGGTAAGAATATAACAATAAACTCAATAATTGACAATTTGCTGCTCTGGAACGGCACCCCAGAGTCTGCCACCTGAGGAGGTCTGCCCCACCCTGCCTCATAACAGAGCTGGCCTGGCAATTGTAGTCAATGCCAATATTCCAGCTGCCACAGCCATAGAAACAGGCACCCTGAGCCAATTCCAGACAGCAGAAGGTAAAATTGCATTATGGAACCCATTTACTGAAAGTTGGGGGCAGGGAGTCGAATGAAAGAAGCATGCTATCAACATAAGCATATTCCTACTAATTAAGTAAAAACTTTTTTTTTCAAAAAAGAAAACAATTATCAAGCAAATAAGAGAAGCCAAAAATTGCCCCAAACCCTATAACATCTAGAGGGAAAAAATGCAGATTAAAAAAAAACCAGGCTAAAGCAGACCTCAAAGCAGAGCAGCCATCTGTGCCAGCCACGATTTCGTAATAATCCAACTCCTAATAGCATTGCGAATAATAACAGTAAAAATGGCAAGAGTTGCTATGTTTTCCCAGCAGTAATTATAGAACCTTTCTGTGGTGTCTGATCTTTGCTTATGGATCGTTACAACTGTGCTTAACGCTTTCAGAAACGCAACGTTTCCCTCCTTACAATACTCCCCACACCCACTCCCATCCGTTCCCATTACAAAATAGAGGAGAAATGTTTCTGTGCTGATTTCTGATTTCCTGGAAATGTTCACCCTATATCCACCAGTGAAATTCGAGACAGCCATGGCTTTAATGTCCCTAGACTGTAAAACAGAAAAAGAGAAAGTTTTCGCTTATCTGCCAGTCATCTGCTAAACTAATAGGTCATATAAGGAAGACCATCGGCAGACTTTTTCACATGGCTTCATTTTTTAACCACCTGATTCCTCAGCACTCAGGGATTCATAGCTGGTTGTGTGAACAACACTGATGGAAAAGACTTGTGTTTGTGGTGATAGGAAGTGATTAGGAAGGTGGGACTTCGTCTCTAAGCAGATCTGAATTGGACAGTTCTTTGGATAGAAGACTGCTCATTTATACTCCTCTTGGCTCTCTGGAAGAAAGGTACAATATAATGAATAACCAAATCACAGGTAGGAGGAGGGGGCGCTAGAGAAGGAGACTAATAATTTAAATAAACATTTTGCGTGTCGAGGTCTCCAAGCCACCCCCCAAATAACTCACATCACACACATTATTTTTGTTTAAGGTTTTTGGCATAATTTTGGCCACAACTTTATTGAAATACATAAGCGTGAGTGGTTATTTAGGCATTGGTTAAGACTATCTGTCCCCCGCCACCTGGGGACAGAACTGACTTCCGGGTACCACCGAAAGCCAGTAAGGGAAAACAATATTGGGGAGAAATGGAGCTGAGTCACAGGCCTTCACTTCTCCCCGCATGCTCCCCAGGACTTGCCGGCCCTAGTCCCACTCCAGGGATTTGGACAAAAAGTTGGCAAGCCCCTGGATTCCTTTAACGGAATTCCCTTTCTGCAGCAACCATGGAGGGGCAGGCCCAGCCTATCCTAACCCCTCCTCCAACCAATTTATAACCAATGCCTAACCACAACCTTACAAGTTGTGACGATTTGCTATGCAGTAGGCAAAAACCAAGTGGCCCAGCCAATCAGCCAAATGGACAAAATTCCTACCAGGCCCCTGCCCCAATGGCAGACGACCCCATGACAGGCATATCAAGGTCAACACAAAAAAACCCTTAATTTAGGGCGGGTGGGTGGGTGATCTGTTGCATGCAGCAAAGAGAAAGCTCCAGGCTGCGTGCAGAGTATTTAAAACCTTTTACCCCTCCCACCTAAATTCCAACGAAACTTTTACCCTAGCAACCCAGCCATCCAATCTGTGCCCTAGGCCCTCTCTAGGAACCCTGCCTGGCAACAGAGGGGTGGCTCGGCAGACCCCACCGCAACACATGCTCTCCATGATGGAGAACACACTTTCTCACCTTAGGTCTTATAGAGCAGGGGTGGCCAACTCCCAAGAGACTGCAATCTACTCACAGAGTTAAAGACTGGCAGTGATCTACCCCCTTTCTGGGGGTTCAGGTCAAAGTTTAAGAGTCCCATAAGAGAGCCAGTGTGGTGTAGTGGTTCAGAGCGGTAGTCTCGTAATCTGGGAAACTGGGTTCGCTTCCCCGCTCCTCCACATGCAGCTGCTGGGTGACATTGGGCCAGTCACACTTCTCTGAAGTCTCTCAGCCCCACTCACCTCACAGAGTGTTTGATGTGGGGGAGGAAGGGAAAGGAGAATGTTAGCCGCTTTGAGACTCCTTCGGGTAGTGATAAAGCGGGATATCAAATCCAAACTCTTCGTCTTCTTCCAGTAGCGTAGCGTGGGGGGTGCAGGGGGGGGGCCGGCCGCACCGGGCGCAACATCTGGGGGTTAGGGTTAGGGGGCGCAAATCCACGGGTTAGAGGGCGCAAATCCATGGGTTAGGGGGCGCAAATTACTTGCCTTGCCCCGGGTGCTGACAACCCATGCTACGCCACTGTCTTCTTCTACTGACTGAACTATCTCCCCATTCTCATACCATACTTCTTAAAACACCCTTAACATGGGTTTTGTCAGGGTTTCATGTCCAAATTGCAAGTTCTTATAGCATTTTCATTTCTTAATGCAAGAAATGCAAGTGAATTTCACCTGCCATCCTGGTGCAAAGTAGGTTGTGTGAGTGTGTCTGTACTAAGGCTGAGCACTGGATTCGGCTGAAACCCACGACAATCCAAGGTGATCAGGGTGGAGTGGGGGATCCAGGATTCAGTCAAGACATCCACATGTTGCCCTGGCTTGAGTCAGGCTGCCCACAGTGATCTGAGGCTGTCAGGAAGTATGCCTTGAGCAGGAATTCAGATACCCCTTTACAAGGCCCTTCCATGCAGCCTGCCAACTGCATGTTTAATTTGATTTTGTATAATGTCAGACCCCTCCAAGAGTCCCTGTTTTCCAGGGACAGTCCCAGATTTAAGAAGCTGTCCTATTTTCTGATTTGATCCCAGAATGTCCCACTTTTCCTTAGGACGTCCCTATTTCCATCAGAGAAATATTGGAGGGTATGGAGCTAGCTGATCCCTGAGCCAAGGAGATAACTATTCAACCTTTAGAAGACATCTGAAGGCAGCCCTGTATCAGAGTGGCTGGGGCAACCCAGTCAGATGGGCAGGGTATGAATAAGAAAATTATTATTATTATTATTATTATTATTATTATTATTATTATTATTATTATTATTATTATTATTTAGGACATCCCTGTGTTCATCAGAGAAATGTTGGAGGGTGTGTACTGTTTTAAATTGTTGTTTTAATCTGTTTTAAACATTTTATTCTTTTTGTAAACCATTTTGAGGTTTTATTTTAAAAAATTCAAGTGGTATATACATTTTATGAAATAAATGATAAAATAAGTACATCTTGGTGAAATTCTCAGGGGTGAGGTGCAGGATTTTTTATGTGCTTACTTTAGAGCTGGTTAAGGATTGTTTCTCCTTTCTTTCCTTCTCCACGTCATTCCCGCCAATGTTCTTCACTCGGCAGCCTTCCTGGGTGACATCATGAGATAGCTCCTCCCATGAGGCTTTTTCAGCTCTGGAAGTGTCAGCAGCTAGGGAGATTGCAGAGTTGTGGGGAAATGTTTAATGGAAAGTGGAGGGAACACATACACACACCTCCTTGGGCCAAGATTAGCTCAAAACCTGTTCAGCCAATAATGGTGAGCCATTATTGTGCTATTGCACTAAGCACCATGCCTTCAAGAGGCCAAGACTTTGAGCTTGCTTCCTTCCTTCCTTCCTTCCTTCCTTCCTTCCTTCCTTCCTTCCTTCCTTCCTTTTTTAAATTTTATTTGCTTAATTAAAAAACAACAACATTATTCATCATCCATTAATACAAAAAGATAAGAGAAATCAACTAAAAAAGGGGGGGAAAGTCTAATCTAATAGAACAAAGAAGATCTTCTTAGTTGACATACAACTTCCCATCCACTCCATATTAACTTGTTGCCAAAACTTGTCAGATGGTTATCAAAACAGAAAATATAAATAAATATTTAATTGTCTGTGGTCTCGATTCTTACTACCAACTACTACAGATGTTATTCGAATGCTACAACAGAGTTTAGACGGCGACAACTATTTTTCAAATATATTTTAACTACTTCCCACTTTGAAATAAATACATGTTTTGGTTTATTTTTCATTTTTTTTCAGATAGATTATCCAACTCTGACCTTTCATTTTAAAAAAGTATGCGTCTAGCTCTACTGGCAGTAAAGTTATAAGGCAAAATGTACAGAGCATCCTTCTAGTTGATTTCTCGGAGATAAGTCAGCTGCTCCGTGTTTTTAGCCAATGAGTGAAATTTGAACTGTGATTAAAGAATGAGTTCTTTGAGCACCAGCCTATAGGAATACACACACGCAAAAACCCTGATTTTGGGTTGTTTTGTTCACAGTTCCTGAAAATAAATACAGTGGTGCCTCGCAAGACGAAATTAATTCGTTCCGCAAGTTCTTTCTTCTTGCGAGTTTTTCGTCTTGCGAAGCACGGTTTCCCATAGGAATGCATTGAAAATCAATTAATGCGTTCCTAGGGAAACCGCTTGCCAGGCTGGCGGTGCGGAGAAGGGCTTTTCTCCGCACCGCAAGCCTTCAGGACAGGTACGGGAACAGAGGGGAAGGCGCGCAGCGCTTCTCCTCTGTTCCCGGGGCTTGCGTGGGAGGAGGGTTTTTCCTCCCCACCGCCAACATTCAGAACAGCATTCTGAATGTTGGCGGTGGGAAGGAAAACCCTCCTCCCACCCCAAGTCTTCAGGACAGCCATCCGATGCCGGGCTGCGGGAGGAGGCGTTCCCCCCCCGCCCGGCATTGGAGCTTCATTCCGATGTCCGGCGGCGGGAGGAGACATTCCCCCCCCCCGCCGGACATCGGAGCTTCGTTCCGATGTCCGTTGGAGGGAGGAGACGTTCCCCCCCCCCGCCGGACATCGGAGCTTCGTTCCGATGTCCGTTGGAGGGAGGAGACGTTCCCCCCCCCCGCCGGACATCGGAGCTTCGTTCCGATGTCCGTTGGAGGGAGGAGACGTTCCCCCCCCGCTGGACATCGGAGCTTCGTTCCGATGTCCGTTGGAGGGAGGAGACGTTCCCCCCCCCCCGCCGGACATCGGAGCTTCGTTCCGATGTCCGTTGGAGGGAGGATACGTTCCCCCCCCCGCCGGACATCGGAGCTTCGTTCCGATGTCCGTTGGAGGGAGGAGACGTTCCCCCCCCCGCCGGACATCGGAGCTTCGTTCCGATGTCCGTTGGAGGGAGGAGACGTTCCCCCCCCGCCGGACATCGGAGCTTCGTTCCGATGTCCGTTGGAGGGAGGAGACGTTCCCCCCCCCCGCCGGACATCGGAGCTTCGTTCCGATGTCCGTTGGAGGGAGGAGACGTTCCCCCCCCCGCCGGACATCGGAGCTTCGTTCCGATGTCCGTTGGAGGGAGGAGACGTTCCCCCCCCTGCCGGACATCGGAGCTTCGTTCCGATGTCCGTTGGAGGGAGGAGACGTTCCCCCCCCCGCCGGACATCGGAGCTTCGTTCCGATGTCCGTTGGAGGGAGGAGACGTCCCCCCCCGCCGGACATCGGAGCTTCGTTCCGATGTCCGTTGGAGGGAGGAGACGTCCCCCCCCCCGCCAGACATCGGAGCTTCGTTCCGATGTCCGTTGGAGGGAGGAGACGTTCCCCCCCGCCGGACATCGGAGCTTCATTCCGATGTCCGTTGGAGGGAGGAGACGTTCCCCCCTCCGCCGGACATCGGAGCTTCGTTCCGATGTCCGTTGGAGGGAGGAGACGTTCCCCTCCCCCCGCCGGACATCGGAGCTTCGTTCCGATGTCCGTTGGAGGGAGGAGACGTTCCCCCCCCGCCGGACATCGGAGCTTCGTTCCGATGTCCGGCGGCGGGAGGAGGTCCGAGGACAGTGGGGAAGACGCGCTGCGCTTCCCCGCTGTCCCGGAGATTTCCCTATGGGCTGTCGTCTTGCGAAGCAAGCCCATAGGGAAATTCGTTTTGCGAAGCGCCTCCAAAACGGAAAACCCTTTCGTCTAGCGGGTTTTCCGTCTTGCGAGGCGTTCGTCTTGCGGGGTACCACTGTATTATGATTATGGGTGATGTAGGAGTAGTGATATTTTTAAATTACTAAATATACAAACGAGCTAAAGGATTCTTAAATATGCTCTCTTACCTTGAGTCACTGTTGGCTCCATTTCAGAAGGCCCTTGCGACCATTGCCCTCTTTGCCACTCTTACTGTTGCCTGTGGGTTTTTTCTTCTAGAAAAAGAGGTGTCAGAATTCACCATGAACACCTCCCTCGTTCTCTTAGAATGGCTATGGTGCCCATCTGAAAGGGGCCGAAACTGGGTTCCAGTGAGGTCCAGCTGAGGAAAAAAGCCCTGACTGTTGCCATTCAGGCCGTCCTTTTCAACACCACAGAGATGTTTCTCCATCTCTTTAGTCTTGTCACAGACTACATGCTCGGAGATGACAAGCTCTGCCATGGAAGAAAAGCAGAATACAAATATAACCATTTCAATTGATCAATCGATCAATTGATCAATCAATCAGTCAGTCATAGTACTCCAATGAATTTATCTCACATCATTGCCATTATGATGTGTGCATCCCTGCTCACCCCATTATAGCTTGGGGTAAATTGTACTAGATATTAGTGTTGTGAGAACTCAAAGCATCAACCTTTGTGCTCTCAGTACTGCGTGGTTCAACCTGGGTATTTTATTGAGGAAAGTATCCATAAACGAATCTCGTAGAGAGATTGCTCTCACGTCAAGAGGCATGCTAAGCCACTCTTACAGAGCATTGTGCTAAACTACTCTGCAGAAAATCTTTCTTTGCAATTTGTATACAAGCCTGGGTAAGGGCGTTGAATCAAGAAAACTTAATTTTGACAGGCCTGATATATAGTCTATTTTGGTTAACCAAAAGGAACACATACATTTTCTACATTAGAGAAATTTCCATTATTTTCCTCTCAGCCATGAAAATCGATTCTGATGTGATTACACTCGGAGGCCGCTTGATGTGCCTCTGACAGTACAAAATGGATAGAAGCGGTGGGTGGTGTTGAATCAAGGATACTGTGGTTAGCTGAACTCTTGTCACAAAGTCAAAATGGTGAGATTAGAATGCACACCATCCGTTTGTCTCATGCCAGGAACTGAGTCTCTGCGTGCCTGGGAGCAGGGTATAGGAGGAGTGTGGTAGCAATATTCTGATGTTTGATGATCAGAAGCACTTACATCATTTTCTGTTTGTTGTAAACAGTGCTATTTGCAGAAGTGGGAGGAAGTCACCACTGTTTATGGCCCAAGTATCTCCTAATACTAAATAATGGAATGTAATTTAATTGGTATCCATTTATTGGTATCCATTCTGAAGGAAATCAGCCCTGAGTGCTCACTGGAAGGACAGATCCTGAAGCTGAGGTTCCAATACTTTGGCCACCTCCTGAGAAGAGAAGACTCCCTGGAAAAGACCCTGATACTGGGAAAGATGGACGGCACAAGGAGAAGGGGACGACAGAGGACGAGGTGGTTGGACAGTAGTTGGACTACTAACACGAGTTTGACCAAACTGCGGGAGACAGTGGAAAACAGGAGTGCCTGGCGTGTTCTGGTCCATGGGGTCACGAAGTGTCAGACACGAGTAAACAACAATAGCTTATTGGCTAATTTTTCTAATAAGGCTGTTTCCCATACTATGGTCTATGCTTACTCCTGACAGGTCTCTCCAAGTGTCTGGCTATGATGTTTCTGGCTGCTGAGAGTAGGTGGGTTATGAGCTCTTCATGATGTGAGTGGGCATTATAATCTTGGAAGATGTTTAGTCTCCCTGGTATGGCTCCCCTTTATCGAATGCACAGCCCAACAAGACAACGACAGCCCAACAATCCACCATATGAATCAATATGGCTAACCAGATTCAAAACCACCCACCCACCCCACTCACGCATGAAAATGAAGTTCACCACGGCCAATCACAAACAACCACACCGTAGGCCAACCTCTCTCACCACCAAAGGAACACAAGTGAATAGTAAAGAGAACCCGCACAAGCGACGCTGACACAAAACCCTACACATACATCAAGTAGAATAGAAACATCGCCTCCCAACCCCACCCCCACTCGTCTTTCCCCCCTCCACCTCTTTCCGCCTTTTCTTCCTAATGTAACACTAATGTCTCAACAAATGAGACTGATATGTAAAAAATTGAAAAAAGAGACATTGCACATACTTTGGTAAACCAAGAAATCTTTAATAAAAATATGTTAATAAAATAAAATAAAAACAATAATGGAATGTAGTTAAATGTAGACACATTTACAATGGCAAAGTTGAAATCTACCCTGTTGGCATGTGAATTGGCTATGGGACTAGCCACTCTCACTGGCGGAGCTCTCCCAAATCTCCAGGAAGAGTCTTTCCCAGCCATAGAAGAAGATTTTGGATTTGATATCCCGCTTTATCACTACCCGAAGGAGTCTCAAAGAGGCCTTTCCCTTCCTCCCTCACAACAAACTCTCTGTGAGGTGAGTGAGGCTGAGAGACTTCAGAGAAGTGTGACTAGCCCAAGGTCACCCAACAGCTGCATATGGGAGGAGCGGAGACACGAACCCAGTTCACCAGATTATGAGACTACCGCTCTTAACCACTACACCACACTGGCTCTCACCAGGGGTCCTTTAACTAGAGATGTCAGATTCTGAGGGTGGCCCCTTCTGCATGATGCCTTGCTACTGACCCCTGGACCCTCCTCATATAAAGAATCCTGCATGCTACTGTAGTTACGAAACTGCTTTTTATGGAGCCAAATTATTAGTCTAGCGAGTGCAATATTTTCTTCTCTCAGTGGCAGCAGTTGTCTAAGACCTCCAGTGGAAATCTTTTCCCCAGGACTTGCTGTCTAAGATGCTTTTAACAGGAGATACTAGGATTGAAAGCGTGTGCCCTACCACTGAGCTATGGCCCCTCTCCCCAAGCTATTCTTGATTATCAAGGCGAGCTTGGAAGAACAGAAAAGACATACAGAATATCTTCTGCATGCTTCCTGATGTCTTGCGAAGGAAAGATGATGTGAACGTTTAGTCTGCAAGAGAGGTTTGGGATTAAGGATGTGACAGCCGTGGGTTTTTTGTTTTGTTTTTTTCTGGAGCCAAAACCACACACTTGAAGCTGCAAATCAACTTCTCTGCTGGAGAGGGTTAGCGACAGATTTTTTGAAAGGTTGTAACTTAGGATGTCTTAAGGTTTTGATCCAGGGTGTTTGAAAAGGTCAACACCCCAGTCTTGTTCACTGGCCTGTGCATGCCATGACCCTATAGACTGCCTCCAACTCCCCCTGCCCAAACACACCAACCCTGAAATACACCTTTGAACAGGATGAAGGCATTCAGTTGTCCACATTGGGTAGCCCAGGAGGAAAATGGGTACACTGTTCCCACTGGGGAGCCTGGAACCCTATGCATTG